GACTCGCGTTGCATCATATCGGCTCGCCTCTTATACTAATACGGAATGATTTTTACTTACGAGAAAGACTAACGCGCGGTCGCCACGCCGCGGCATTGAGTGGTACTAGTGCTATCCCACACAGCACCGAAATATTTCAGAAAGCTCTCAAAAAGCTGTCAATGAAATATGAAACCTTTCAAAAAATATTTCAGACATGTTTCAGATACATGAAATGTCCGCGTAGATTGCCGTAGATGAAATATCATAAATGTTTCTGAAATATTTCTGAAATGCTTTAGAAATATCTTTTAAATGCTTCGGAAATATCTCTTAAATGCTTCAGAAATATTCCTGAATGATTTCTATATTACATTTCAATATTAATTTCCTAGTTATATGTTGGATAGCTTTCAATAATATGTTTTAGAGATTACGTACGAAATATTTCTCTGAAATGTTTCGTAATATTTCTGAAATATTTTAGTGAGAAGGATCATAAATGATTTCGATAAAACGTTTCAGAAATACTTCTGAATGATTTCAATGTTACATTTCAATATTAATTTCCAAGGTATCTTTTGGAAAGCTTTCAATGACATGTGATTTTGATGAAACGTTTCAAAGATATTTCTGAATGATTTCAATTTTACATTTCAATATTAGTTTCCAAGTTATCTTTCGGAAAGCTTTCTGAAACTTGTTTTGCTGTGTGGGACACTACCGTGTCTCGTGATATCCGGAACGACTTCGACGAAGTTCCGATTAATTTAGTGTTTAATTCAATCGTTGATAAGATTAGAAATAAAATTCCTAATCTTAACTATATAACCCAAATAGCACCGTACATCTTATGGACGTCCGTTTTACGTTCATTTTACTACCATACGTCCATGGACATAATAAGATCGTCCATTGTACGTCCATACAAAGATATACATTGGATGTGCATAAACGGACGTCCAGTGGACATCCACTTAAGATTCCCTTTATATAACTAATTTATGGATATATACTCCCGAGTAGAAATGAAATCATGCATGCCTTGTATATGACGTCAGGGTCCGATAGGGAGGAAGTAAGGAATGCCCTAATAATTAAGGAATCCCTGAAATGTGCCTGATCCGGTACACCTGATTCCCTCATAGAATTTGATAAACGTTAACCTGAATATGTAGCACTAGTACCACTCACTGCCGCGGCGTGGCGACCGCGCGTTAGTCTTTCTCGTAAGTAAAAATCATCCCGTATTAGTATAAGAGGCGAGCCGATATGATGCGACAGCGAGTTGTTGGATCATGGATAAACTTCAATAACCTGAATATACTTTTGATGACTATGTAATTTAACACAATTTAAAAATTAGTTTAAAAAATTGAATTTTCACCCTACTAAAATTTCTGCCCGGGAATGTATTCAGTAGAGATTTCAATTTATCCATAAAAAGTCCAAAGTTCATCCATTAGATTCATAGTTTATTCATTTACGATCCATAATTCATCCATAATTCATCCATAAATGTTCATTAATGGACAACTTATGGATGTCTAATATTGGAGTTGCAAATGGATGTACAATGGACGTTCTTTGTACGTCAGCTGCAATTGATACGGACGTTCGATGTATGTACACAATATCCGGCATGGATGTTCATTGTATAACGTACATATAGGACGTACTTGTGTTTATTGGGTAATTTGTTATGTTTGACTTCATCTTTCTTGCACGTTAAACAGAACATTAATAATTTTCACAAGTGAAGACGTCCATGGATTGGAAAGAGAGTCAGTTTAATTAAACTGGGGTAATATTTTTCGCAATGATTTCTTCGCGGCGATTTAAAAGATGCTTCTTCGCATCGAAAAGTTAAATCGATTATCGTATATTGAATTTACTAATGTAAAATTGTGTTTCAAGACTGACAAATAATCAGCACTCAGTTTGAATAAAAAAAAAGTATATATAGGGTGAGTCTTTTCATATCCGACAAAATTTTTGAGAAGGTAGAACGGATCGAGATGAACGGAAAAGTCCTGTACCATTTTGCAATTTTCGTAATAGTTAACGAGTAATTAATTATTAAAAATCGTTGTCTTAGGCTGGCCTACCGTCCAATTCGAGCGCGTGGCAAGATGTGTCCGCCCGGCGATCGATATTGCTATGCGCACATCTCGCCACGCGCTCGAATTGGGCGGTAGGCTGGTCATAAGACAACGATTTTTAATAATTAATTACTCGTTAACTATTACGAAAATTGCAAAATGGTACAGGACTTTTCCATTCATCTCGATCCGTTCTACCTTCTCAAAAATTTTGTCGGATATGGAAAGACACCCTGTATAATATAAAGCCTTGTAGAAATATTTTACTGAAAATATAACAGAATTTTGCTGAAATGTATTTGAAAATCTCTCTCAGCTGACCTCATTTCATAAATATTTCAGGAAAAATTCAGTAAATCATTTGCATTAAAAATAACAGTTTTTAGCTAAATTCGATAAATTTCATAATTTTTAAATTACTTTTTAACAGTTTACTTGAATTTTTCTCATGTTTCGCAGCATTACATGGAATTTTATAAGAAATATTATGATTTATTTTGAGATGCATTCAGTAATTTTTCAATAACTTTTATTTCAAGTTTCGTCGATTTCATAGTACTTTCAGAAAAATATTTCCACGAAATTTGCACAAAAGTATTAAGTTATAATGAGGTCAAGTTCAATCGAATGGCATATTTCTTTACCTGTGAAGATCATTTGCCAAAATCAAAGTTTCACTTATTATTAATAATTTTATCCATGTTAACAAAATAGTACAAATAATAATTGAGTCATTGTTTAAGTTAATTAAAGTGTGATCGAAGTCATTCTTAACCCTTAAACTACTCCCGGGGTCCAGGAGACAAAAGTTTGCGTTTAAATATCTCCTATATCTCCTATATAAAATTTGAAGTTGGGACTTATGGCGCCATTTGTTGTTAGTTGAAGTCTTCCTTTTTAAGACTACACATTAGTTGTGAGTCCCAAGGTGCTAGTTGACTAGTGACAGCCGTTCAAAGTAGACGCTTCAAAACGCTGGGGTCAATCTGACCCCCTGTGTAGTGTACGAATATTGGGAGGAATTTTTTCAGAATTTTTTTGTTCAATTTTACTGCATTTCAACTAGAAAAATGTAAGTATTAATTTGAATACCGTGTGATTTTTTAAAATTAGTAATAATATAAATTATAATACTTTTAGATGGCGTATAATTTGAAAATTCGGAGCATACGCCAGATGCTGTATTGAAATAATGTATTCAATCTTTATTTATCATATATTTTGTAAAAAAACATTTTACACTCAAAAGACGAATAATATAATTAATTTTTATTGCAATGACCAGTAAAAATGTGCCTTCAATTTTTCCGAAATATCACACCCCTTTGATTGTCAAAGTAAATACCTTTTTTGGAATGTACACTATTGCAATTATTTTTATCTTAAAGAACATTGTTTCAAATTATACGCCATCTAAAAGTATTATAATTTATGTTATAACTAATTTAAAAAAAATCACACGGTATTTAAATACTTACATTTTTCTAGTTGAAATGTAGTAAAATTGAACAAAAAAAATTATGAAAAAAAATTCCTCCCAATATTCGTACACTACACAGGGGGTCAGATTGACCCCAGCATTTTGAAGCGTCTACTTTGAACGGCTGTCACTAGTCAACTAGCACCTTGGGACCCACAACTAATGTGTAGTCTTAAAAAGGAAGACTTCAACTAACAACAAATGGCGCCATAAGTCCCAACTTCACATTTTATATAGGAGATATTTAAACGCAAACTTTTGTTGGGGTCTCCTGGACCCCGGATGTAGTTTAAGGGTTAATCATCTATTACCAAACCATGATATAGCTGCGCAAAGGATAGTAATGTGCTTTGCGTAGCAAAAATATTACATTGCTCGTACTTTCATTCAAAGGGGTAGCAGATATCGACCTGTATCATCCAAAAATCGCTTATCTGAAGAACGCCCTTCTTGTCGACGAGGAGATGTTATCTCAGTTGAAGATCAAAGTAGGCATACTGGGTGACAATCGTTCGGATTACGATATTATGTTAATGCCGTACGAATCGGAGGAACCGGCGGAACCTACGGAGCTTGGTTTGCTCGACAAAAAGTCGTTGGACACGCGAAGGAGCATCTTCGTATCTAGAGTCTTGGTAACGTCCTACGATATATACGAGATATAAAACGATATATACGATATATATACGATATATAAAAATATGAATCTCAACTGGATGCGCAAAAAAAAAGATGGAACCTCTGAGATATTTCTGTTTTGACGCAAAGGAACAAATCGAGGAGATCGAGAGCTTGTCCGAGGAAGTAATCGAGGAATTTCCAGTGAGGGAGATTCAGGAGTCGAGCGAGAGATACGACAGGATTCGAGAGAAGGCCCGGATAAAGTGGATCCTTCGAGAAATAAAACGCGAACGCAAAGCGGCCGACACTTATTCTATAGCGACAACTTTGGATTGAATATCGGGAGAATTTTATACAGAACTAAAGTGGCAATTATACAGGGTGAAGAAAAATATGGAAACCCTGAAAAATCTCAAAAATATAAGTTTAAGACAAAAATGTTTCAGACAAAAGTTGTTCAAGATAATGGGGGTCATCTATCTGTGTAACTAGCTTTGACCTTGAGACTACTTTTCAAGGTTATTTGAAGGTCAGAGTGGTTTTTTAAAATGGGAATTCCTATTTTTTATTACATATTCTTATAGCTTACCTCGAGAGCTTTCCAAAACGCTATAATAAAGTATTTTTTTATTAAGAACTTTTTTGAGCTATGAAGGTTTGAAAGTTCCAATATTTTGACATAAATTACAAAATATCTTGTAAAATATTCATTTTTTATCATTTTACCTTAATACTTTTTTTAACAGAATAATGAGACAAATCAACCGGTGTACAGAAAACACACAATTTTATAACAAGTAATAAAAAAATTTTTTTAAACTGTTTTCTTTACACCATTATTCTGTTAAAAAAAGTATTAAGGTAAGATGATAAAAAATGAATATTTTACAAGATATTTTGTAATTTATGTCAAAATATTGGAACTTTCAAACCTAAATAACTCAGTTCTTAATAAAAAAATACTTTATTATAGCGTTTTGGAAAGCTCTCGAGGTAAGCTATAAGAATATGTAATGAAAAATAGGGGTTCCCATTTAAAAAACCCACTCTGACCTTCAAATAATCTTGAAAAGTTGTTTCAAGGTCAAAGCTAGTTACACAGATAGATGACCCCCATTATCTTGAACAACTTTTGCCTGAAACATTTTTGTCTCAAACTTATATTTTTTGAGATTTTTCAGGGTTTCCATACTTTTTCTTCACCCTGTATATTAATACGAATGAATTCTAGATTAAAGTATCGAGAGACACAAGGGCGAATTAACGAATATAATATTTTTCGCTTTCGTCAATCGGTATGAAAATAAAATACGAGTCCGAGTTTCTTCGTCAAGTCGAAATTACCATTAGGATACGAATGATAAGGATGGATATAAACTGAACGCTGTAACACAATGTAAAAAATATGCTTATTATAATTATTGATGCCTAATCAAGAGTAATAATGCTGATATTTTACAAGAAGATACACATATAGGTACATTTTTCAAGCAATGCGTTACGATTAAATCCATTGTCCTGTCCATAAATAATTACCGTGCCTAATCTCTACTGCTATATACGTAGTAACAATACATACGACGTTAATTTAATTCCCAATGTGGGTCGACCTGTAAATTATCCCATTTTTGTTTGCATCTACGTGTGTAATAAACTGCGGCTTTTTGCAGTCGTTCGTACTCAGCTAAACGTTTGTTATTTGAAGAGCGCTTTGCTCCAGCGCGACCCATTTCTTAACGAGTGACACGCGTCATATCGCAACGTGAGCCGAAAGGGGGAAAAAGAAAGGAGACGTTTCGACGTTTGGCACAGCGATTTTGATAATAAAAGCCAGATTTGTAAACATCTGCCCGTCATTACGCACACACGTTCGCGCATAACAATTTGAGTGTCTTGCCTCATCTGTAAACTAGTTATGTAACATACTCGTCGCGTTATTATGATATGTATTGAGATTATGATGACCTGCGGTATATCTGCATCCGTTTTATACTATTACGCGGGTTTACAACAATGTGTACGCGCGATACTTTAGAAGTGGCAGTAAGCAATTCCAACCATTCGCGCCGATCTAGTTTTACTTTCAGAATCCGTGCCTTTATGCTTCTCTTGAAAAAAAAAGAAGGAAAAAGAAAAGAGGAAAAACATTCTCCCCTCAAATAATCGGAGCACTCTTTTGAAAAAAAAAAAACAAATACGTGATAACGTTTTCCTTTGCTCGGCTAGTACGCAGCATCGTCTCACTGTAAGGCCGCAAAGCGTGTTGCACATTCGGTAACAATGTTGAAAGATGAAATTTTTTCTCGGCACTTCTTGCTAATTTTTACTTTACTTATATATTATAGCTACTCTATCGTCGCTGAACATTTGTCTACATGAATATAATACAGAATAGGCGATATTGATCATACACATATTAATAATATAACGTTATTCAATAAATGTGATTATTCAATCGTGTTACTGCGGGAATTAGATAATGGAAAAAAAAGACGTTATATACACTATATGTTACATATATTTATGTAGACATATGTGGGTTCTCGTATAAATTCAGTCCTGTGTTTTTTGTACAGACACAAGGTTTCATAATGAAAATTAAATTCTGGAAAAATGTATTTTATTTAAATAAAATTCAGATAATAATTTTTTTTAAGGATGATACCGCATAAGACGTATATCCCGGATTCATAATTTTCTTTTGCTCACGTGCTGTATATTTTTTCGCCGCTGGAAAAATAATGCAAATACCAATTTTTTTTTACATTCTGCAAACGAACGAATAATTTCACGACAATTTGCTCTAATATAAGAATGATATATATGTATATATATACAAAGTTATATACGAACACCAAATATTTTCTTCAAGTATTAGGTTTTGTTGACTCCAATTATTCTGTAGTTAAATTTTTGTAGAGTTAAACTCCGATTTGTAAGTCAGAATGCAGTTTCTCTCGGTTATGCCGCAGCATAAACAACAACAGATAAAATCATTACAAATCAGTCATAAAAATACCTTTGTACCTATTATTTGAGTAATCAGTAATTATCTAGACATTACGTGTAGTTCAATAAATATGGGAGCTATTAGTAAAGTAATTTGGATAACTCCTGCCGTTTGTCTCAATAAAAACAAGCCGTATATAAAAATGAAAACTACGCATTTGTTTAGCTCGCGCGTGCTGGAATCAAGTTCGAACCATTTACGTGAACTGCGCCCACCGTCCTCCCCCGATCTACTTATAAATCTCGTTACCTTTCAAAATGATTGCGTATATTAATTGCAGCTATAACAATTTTTCTAAGCAAATTTGTCAAGTGCAAGTCAAAGTATCTGCAAATAAGCTACAAATATATTGCATGTAATATAACGACGCAGAATGTCCGTGATTATTTGTCAAAAAGGATGGAATTCTCGATTTTTTTTGCCCTTTACATTCGCTACTCGTCTGACGTAAACCTACCTGATGGTATTGTACCCAATGCTATTTATACTAAGTTCATAAATTTGCTATTGTTTTTTTCATTGTTTTCCCCCTCATCTGTTACTTTCTGTATGTCAATCCCTGCCATTATCTCGGACTTGCGTTGGCTACGTAATAACAGTCTATAACACAATCTTACGTTTAGCAGCACAGACACAAACAGTATTTCTCTCTACGTTTACAAGGAACACGCCACAAATTCCTTCCCCGAAAAAATTATTATGTTAGTACTGATGGGGCTACGAGGCAATGTCCGACATAAGCTGAGCGAGCAATGCTGGCTCTAAGAGTCCGTGCGTCTGCCCCATCCTCTCCAAGTTCCGCACGTCTTTGTCAACCTCTTCCAAAGCCCGTTGCAACTCCTCCTCTTCTTCCCTCGACGGCTCGTAATCTCCGTTTCTACCCTCTAGAAATTAAAAACAGCTTTGTACCATCTTATTGCGAAACAAACAAAACAGTTGTACAAGATTGCAAGATTCGCAGAACGCAGAAACACCGAAGGCATGGACATTGCAATTACCGATAAATAAGTCGTTAAAAGCATCCGGGGGCAGGTTGTTGAGCACATTGCCGAAGTCATGCTCGGCGGAGTCTAAGGAGGCGAACACTTCGTTATCCCCGAGCTCGACCTTGAGTCCTCCGCTCAGACCGAGCGAGCCCAGTCCCAGCCCTAGATTCAAGTTGGACGAATTTGAACTTCCCTGCGGGACATTCAGATTGTTCAGCGTCTTGGTGTGATTTTCACTACAGTTTATTTGGCTCATGTAATGACTCTCCTCGTGCATCAGCGCAGCACTCTTGGTAGTCTCTATCTTATTCGAGGGCGGCCGTTTGCGCTTCTTCGGCTTGGACTTGGGCTTAGGCTTCGCTGGGACAGGGGGCGAGGCTGGCTTCTTGCGGGCCTTCTTTGGCTTGGATTCCTGGATCTTACGGTGATAATTGTCCCTCTTCCTCGCGTGCTCCGGGCAAAGAGGTAATTCGTGCGCGACGTCAAACACAGGTACACAACACTGTGTGTTGTCACTAAACTTGGCAGTGCAATGCTCGAATAAAAGCTGATCTCCGTTCAACATAATGTGGCGGGAGCAGTGTCGGGTGCAAGGCAGGGACGTTTGCTGGCATCCCTCAGCCCCGCATGGCCCACCGACCAGCAATGGTCCGTCGAGCACCTTGCTGGTGCCCGGGGAGTCGCTCAGGGCTCGCACGGTGGAGACGAGATCCTTGGAGGCCGCGTCCAGCAGACACCTGACCCTCTGCCGCAGCACGGCCTCGGCATCGGTCCCGTCGATGCGAAGCTGCAGCAGCTGCCGCTGCAGCTGCAGGCGCAGCTGAGACAGCCGAACCGCCCGGCTCAGCGACGCAGTGGAGTTGCCGGCGAACCAGTGACGCTGATGCACCGTCATCTCGTCCCCGCTCGACTCGCTGTCGGATATCTCGTCCCCGGCCCTCGGATAGTACAGCAGCGTGTGGTCCCGACTCTGCCTCCTAGACCTCAATCTCTGTAGATTCTCGATGTGCCGCCCCTTGCGCTCAACTAGATTAGAAAACTTGTGACCCAGGCTCTCCCCGGTGCCGTCCTCGACGATCGTCTCGGCCGTGGCGTTGACGATCTTGTAGCCCGCACCTGGCATGGGCGCCATCCTTATCCTCTGCTTCACGCATTTCCCCCTCGACCTATTGTTCCTGCAACCCTGCATCACTTCGACGTTCGCAAGCGGAACCACCGTGGCGTTTTTCCCTGCTGCCGCTGCCGCCGCCGTGAATGGCTCCGGCTCGCTGAAAATATACGGGTCGACATCCTGATGCGTCTCGGTTTTCAGCAGAGCCTTCAAGCGGTCCGAAAACTTCAATTTACTGTCCATGTTTGAGTTCTCGGTAATTGGGACCTTCATTGATTGCCGCTTCCGTCCGGATCTGTTCCACCTGCATTCTCAAATCCCCCAAGTCAACTCTCCTCCCTATCTAGTTCAAACTTAGTTCACGCTATGCGTCAAGATCCAAGCTGCACCGTCGAAAAAAAAACCCGTAATACTGAGACCACGTGGGAGAATTAAGAAAACTACGTTTCGTGTCGTATCACAGACAAATTCCCGGACAAGATCTAAGCGTGCACCGCGTCAGACGAGACTCTACGGAGCGAACAAGTAGATCGCGCGATACACCAGGATCGATACTCGAACGACGTCGTCGAACGCCGCGAGCGTCCGCGGCCTCCCTGGTTCGAGCGGCAAGCGTGAACTTAGTCCATTGCTGGGATCAGGATGTAAAACCGAGCCTTGCCTCGCATAGCAGTCTACACCGAGCGTGCTCTACACATGCGTCCGAGCAGCTGCGTAAACACCGTCGTCGCCGCCGTCACCGCGTGTCGGACAGTGCGCAGCGCTGTCGAGGTCGCGCGCCCCGATGATCCCGCGGCCATATCACCGGGGGGGCTGATCTCCCCGCCGCTGGCACGAACGCTCGTCGCTCGGGACGGACGGACGAGGGGTCCTCTTGGGTCTTTTAGGTTAGGTTCGCTCACGTCACGTCACGCCAAGGCGGCCCGATCTCAGCGAGGCGGCAGCCGGAAGTGCTCCCGGTGCGAGCCTCGCGGCATACTCGTGTCCGGCGCGATAGGATCGCACGCGATCGCGGGCCCTGGCTCCTCGCCGAGCCAGCGGGCTCGCCGTTCGTCGTGCTCGGCGCGAACGGCTCCTCGAGGTTGGGACGACACTGGCGATCGTTCTCGGTAACGGCGGCACGTGTCCACGCCGTCGACGCGGCCACGGCGCGCGCTCGCTCGCTCGTCCTCGTGGACCTCGGCTCACCACGGGCAGTCGCACACGACGCGGTAGAACGTCGCGGAAAGACTTAGACGTCCGTCGATAATAACATTAGAAAGACATGTCAGGCGTGCGGGGGCAGCAAAATGGCGGCCGCGGCGCGGCACGGGGGTCTCGCGCGAAAAGTCCCCGAGCCCGCGGATCCGGCGGGCGACGGTGACGTCCGCGCGTCGGGTCGATCCCGAGCGACGGCGCCGCGGGAGGGACGCGCGACGAGCTAGAGAACGCTCCGCGCGGCGAGGGGAGCGTCGCTTCGCGCTCCACGGAACATAACCTGTGCGCTGAGACGCGCGCGGTCTCCCAGCGGCGACTTTTTCCCCTCTTTCGGAGACCTCGCGCCTCGCGCGGCTCGTCGCACCCCGAACGATCTGAAGGGTACGCTGGGGGAGGAGGCGAATCGATGGCGAGGAGAGAACGGTCGGCTTCTCGTCATCGCATTCTCCGAGAATCGTCCCCGACTTTCGAAGGCCCAGCTCCCCTCGCGCGCGATAGGAGCCTCTTGGTTCGCGCGAGCCGGCGATAGTTGCGACAGTGACTCGGCCGACTATGTCGGCACTGCTCCGTGCCTGATACCGGGAATTACCGAGGACCATGCGCGGATACGAAATTGCAGCTCGGCTCTTTGTACGCTTCGTCCTTTCTCTTTTTCTCCCTCCAGCAAGCAGTTGTCTATTCAACTCATTTTAAATGCGAGAAGTACGACGTAGTCGGACTAGAGAAGAATAGGTGTTGCGTTTGTTCCTCGTAGGTGAACCTTCTGCACTTTTTTCCTCCCAACCTTGCACTCGTCTTCATTTTGAGTGCGCAAAGCAAGGCCGCGCATCTACGAAGACCAGCGGGGGCTCGATTCTTGAATTTATTCGAAGGAGAAACGTATGCGAAAATTCTGCTCTCACAGAAAAGTTGCAAGTTGATTGGCTATTCGCATGGCTTTAACCAATCGACTTTCAGCTTTTCTGTCGGAGCAGAATGTTCGTATACGTTTCTTCTTCGAATAATTTCGAGAACCGGGCCCCAGATATTTGTTCTTCATAGTGTAGAACTTTTTTTCTCCAATATTGTATTGTATATTATTTCTATCTTTTACCTGTTGAGATTTTGATTCTCGGGGAAAAGCGACTGAACAATGGATTTAATTGTTAACGTCAACCGCATGATTCACGTTCGAATACGATAGTCAACCTGCATGATTGTCGTATGAATCATTTTAAAGTTTTGTACCGCGTTGATAAGATTATAGGAAAAGACGATGTTTAAATTGTAGCGACGTGGCAATATTTTACCAAAAATACATATAATGAACTTTTGCTGAAATGTATTTGAAAGTTTCCCTTAACTGACGTACCTTATTTTATTATTATTTCATAGATAAAAATTTATTGAAAACCTACTTGAACATTTTTTTAATTAAAAAGTAATACGGTTTTTAGTTAAATTTAATAAATTTCATATTCAAAATATTTCATAATTTTTTATTTTCAACAGTTTAACTATAATCCTTATATTTGACAGTATTACATTGAATTTCACCAGAAAATTGTTATTATTTGTTTAGAGATTTTAGTAATTTCCAATAACTTTTATTTTACTTTTTATCAATGCCATACCCACACAGCATGTGATATTATAGTAATATTACAATGATATTACCATATTGTAATATCATTTTAACATACTAGTACAATATTTCACAAATATTACCATGTAATCTAGATTACATTGTAATATTAATGCAATATCATACAAATATTACGGTATGATAAATCACACTACGATTTTATTGTGATATACACAAAAATGCAATATTATTTTAAGAGTTATATGTTACTTGTGATGAATTATAGATAGATGATAAAGGTATATCAGAATATAATACATTGAAAAATAAAAAAACAAAAATTGCGAATTATTATTAATTTAAAATCTTATGTATCTTAATGTATAAATATATAATAATAACGAATTATAAGAAATTACGATAGAATTATTTCATAATTACTTAAACATAACTTATAAATAATAATAACTTATATACACATAAATATTTAGGTAATACATTATCACATACATTTAAAGATACAGCAATATTAGATCTGTTTTTTATAGCCGAACTGCTGCAGTAATTTAGAGTTTTTTCTTTCACATTAGAAAAAAGAAACTGCAGGTATTAGTGCATCCAATTTTAGCTATAAAAAGCGGACTTAATATTGCTGTATCTTTAAATATATGTGAAAGTTTATTACCTAAATATTTATATATTACTTAAGTAATATTATTATAGTATTTTGTAAACATCACTGTAGCATTACTGTAAAATTACAGAATTATCATCGCAATACTGTAAAGTAATATCCGTAATATTGCAAATACATCACTGTAATATAGTAAATATTATAACGTTATTATAGATATATTACAGTAATATTACTATATCACAAAAATATAGCGATGGATTTTTGCGGACATTTAATATTATAGCAATGTTTCTGCAATATTACTGATATATTATCATGTAATATTACACAATATTGTGATGTCACAATTATATTGCTGCAATATTAAATTGCTGTGTGGGTAGAATTTCCATAAGAGCGTGATTTTGAAGTTTTTACGCGGTAAAAATTGTTTCATGTATGAGCATGCATAAATATATGGTATTGTATAAAATCGTACACGAAAATATGTCCATACATATTTTTACATTGTATGTTTCCATATAATTGTATAAAATTCTACATAATTTTATAGATTTATACATGCTTTTATATGAAAAATTTTTTAAAGGAAAAAATTGCTTATTTATAATTTTACGGGATTATCGAAAAGTATCGGACTCCCCTAATATTTTCAGTTAGAATGCATTTTGGAGAAAATGTCCAGTAGCAAAGCTGTATGGTTTCAAGCGGGGAGTAACCTGATGACCTTGACCATGTCCTTCAAGGTCAACTTAATTTTTTTGTGGAACCCCTACTTTTTATTCTTATAACTTATCTCAAGAGCTTTTCAAAACACTGTAATAAAACATTGTTTCAGTAATAAAGGTGTAAAGTTAACAATTTTTTGACACAAAATGTAAAATATTATTTAGTTTTCGGTAAGCAATTAATTGGGGTTTCATTATTCCGCGCACAAAAGTATTAACGTTATGATTACCGAAAATTAAATAATATTTTACAAGATATTTTACATTTTGTGTGTCAAAAATTTGTTCACTTCAAACCTTTGTAACTCAAAAAGTACTTATTGAAACAATGTTTTATTACAGTCCCAAGAAAAAAATGAAAAGTCAAGATGACGTCAAACTGCATGATGTCATATATTGATGACATAAATTTGATCAATATGACATCATCTTGACTTTTCATTTTCCTTGGGGTGTTTTCCCAGTCAGAAATGACTCGAAAACCGACGTCGAAACGATATCGAATCGATGCATTTTTGGTTCCATTTTCGAGCCAAGTCGAAAATGGAACCAAAAATGCATCGATTCGATATCGTCTCGACGTCGCCGTCGGTTTTCGGGTCATTTCTGACTGGGTTGGAAAGCTCTCGAGATAAGCTATAAGAATATGCAATAAAAAGTAGGGGGTCCCATTAAAAAAAATTAAGTTGATCTTGAAGGACATGGTCAAGGTCAAAGTCAAGGTCATCATCTTACTCCTCACTTGAAATCATACAACTTTGCTGTTGGACATTTTCTCCAAAATGCATTCTAACTGAAAATATCAGGGGGGTCCGATATTTTTCAATGAACGTGTATACAACTTCATACAATTGCATACAATATGTGTACAATTATAAATAAGCAATTTTTCACATAAAAATTTTCGTCATATAAAAGCAAGTACAAATCTATAAAAGTATACAGAATTAACTGTGTAGAATTGTATAGAAATATACAATGTATAAACATGTATGGACATATTTGATATATATTTACACAATTTTATACAGGGTGTCCAGACCACCCGTATCAGCCAAATATCTCGAAAACTGAGCCCAGCACACAAAAATGTTTCAGACAAAAGTTGTATGGTTTCGAGGGGGACATAAGACGGTACCATTGGTTTGACCTTGAAGAATTATTTGAAGGTCACATAAAGGTCACACCAATTTTTTTAAACGGTATCCCCTATTTTTTATTACATATTCTTGTAGCTGACCTCGAGAGCTTTCCAAAACACTATAATAAAATATTTTTTTTAGTAAGAATTTTTTGAGTTACTAAGGTTTGAAAGTTCCAATATTTTGACATAAATTACAAAATATCTTGTAAAATATTAATTTTTTTATCATCTTATCTTAATACTTTTTTGAACAGATCGAATAATGAGACAAATCAACCGGTGTAAAGAAAACACACAATTGTTAAAAAAATTTTTTTATTACTTGTTACAAAATTGTGTATTTTGTAACAATAAGAAAATTTTTTTTAACAATTGTGTGTTTTCTTTACACCGGTTGATTTGTTTCATTATTCTGTTAAAAAAAGTATTAAGGTAAGATGATCAAAAATGAATATTTTACAAGATATTTTGTAATTTATGTCAAAATATTGGAACTTTCAAACCTTAGTAACTAAAAAAGTTCTTAATAAAAAATACTTTATTATAGCGTTTTGGAAAGCTCTCGAGGTCAGCTACAAGAATACGTAATAAAAAATAGGGGATGCCATTTAAAAAAATTGGTGACCTTTATGTGACCTTCAAATAATTCTTCAAGGTCAAACCAATGGTACCATCTTATGTTCCCCTCGAAACCATACAACTTTTGTCTAAAACATTTTTGTCTGCTGGGCTCAGTTTTCGAGATATTTGGCTGATACGGGTGGTCCGGAACACCCTGTATATTTGTTCATATTCATGCAAGAAAAATTTTGTAGCGAGTATTTTCTACTTTTACCTCGGAAAATACTTATCGTGTTTGTCAAAATAAAATGTTATCAAACATACGTGAATAAAGAATTGATTGCGGTAATCAAATATGGCAACTGCGGAAACTTTCGTTATCAGTTTTAAGATCCGTCGTGAATAGATTAATTATCCGGGACTCATTACTTTATGGATCATTATGTAAAACGTTTAAATTACTTCTCGTTTACGAATCTCTCAAGATTGTTCAGGAAAGGTTTAATGAACTGCAGATCTTAAAGTTTAATGCGATCGGTTGGCTCGCGTTTAAAGAATTATACCTTGCAGAAGAGAAAATTCGAACGTGTGGTCCACCTGTTGATATGCAGATCGACATTTGAGACATTTGTGTCGCCGAGTTTTGGAAACTTTTAAAAAATTACAAACGCTCTACTTACCAATAAACAATATGTTTGCAATTGTACAATGTATGTACATACATACGTACAGGGTGTCCCAGACCTAATGTACCACCAGTTAACGACAGATTTCCGATGTTATTTTGAGATACAAATTCTGATACCAAAATGTCGAACCTATGATAGTTTGTAAATGAGACGTGTTCAAAATTGACAAATCAAGTCCTAAATTTGCGCGCTCAGGTCATGTCATACTGTACACACAGTAGTGGTGGTTTTAAACGCATCAAACCAGACAATATGTATGAAAAATTGTATTAGTTTCGACGACAGATTTATATAGTAATTTATTATCAACATCAGTGATTTGTTTACTGCTAGCGACTTTTAAGAATATTCTTATTAGTAATTTATTATATTACTGATAAATAACATTTTAAGAAATATATGTATACTAATTATCAAAATTTACGGAAATTACACAAAAAGAAGAAAAATACCGAGTCGCGTAATGCCTCTTTGCGTAAACATATTCAGAATGCACTATGTCGTGTAAAGAGAACACTCGCTAGATCCTGCGTGCGACTTACATCTCATCTTCGCCCCTTCATTCAGGTTGAAACAGAAATTAAATTGGACTCACGTTTCAAATACGTATTTTGTAAATAACAACACTGTGTTATCACAAATGTTTATCTTTCAACAAGGTGCTATACAACAAACTGTGTACACATGACACACACGCTCGATCGTTTCCGCTGAAAATCGGCGGAAGTCCACTCGTCTTTCGACAAACTTTGCCCGACGCAATACCATGTAATATATTAAAACGTATTATATAACGTAAATGTGTGTGTGTATACTAACTAGGATGCCTCGCGAATCTCAATTTATATTGAGACTTCCGTACAATTGTTGAACGATAACAAATAAATTTCAAGTTATTTTACATTATTAACTATTAAATGCACAATTGGCTCAATTGGGAAAAATAATTAAACCGGGAATTTAATTCCCTTAGAACGCGAAGAGAAGAAAACAAACTTACATTTGTGACTTGCTCTAGTAAATATACTTGTAAATATATTTACTCTATATATTGGAGATAATTGCGTGTGATCGGCGTAGCAATTCGAAAGACATTCGTTACGTTAATAGATGATTACGTAATTATGCGGTAACAAACGGCTTCGCCTTGCAATAGATGGATAACGTAAACGAAGGATGAAATAGAATGTGCACATGAGCCAAACATAAGAAAAAAGATTCGAGAAAACAATATTAAAACAATAATAAAATCAACACCGCTCCGAAGACGATGGAAACTATAATTCTTGGAATATTCTATCCTTTAAGTCGGTTGAACTGTTCTGACGACATTAAATCCTTAGTTCGAGGTATAGTTTGTGGTAGACCCAAGGGACGGTAATTCTTTTATTACAAAAGTTGTATTTGCAAACTGTTTATGAAATAACCAGCGGATCTTCGTTACGTCGTTCGTCGTTGAGGTTTCTGTCCTTTAATAACAACTGGCCGGCCCTTTATGAAACCTCGCTTGCGCCGTGCGGTCTGAAACATCAATGCCCGACCCCCCATAACTTCAACTACGCTTCCAGATCGATCAATGCGTAACGATTAAAACGGCAAAACGATACGAGAAATTGTACGAATAAAAAAAAAGGATACATCATTCGCTTTACCGTAAGATTACCATAAATGTATATGCATACCAACCTTTTTGCTAATATACGAATTTGCACGGCGCGTGATAACTCGCTCGGAAATCGGAATTCTTGGCCTATTAAACTCCGCTGGTTTCTTCACCCTACGAACGTGTCACGAGATTAACATCAATGCAGAAGTTCTTTTTAGATGACAACAGGAAGCTGGCGATACATTGGTCGGTATTCATAGTTGAATCTTAAGTTCATCTTTAAATACTCCATTGTCAATTAAACATTCCATTACAGCGTCTTCAGGTAAATTCGAGACTGTCTTGAATACAAGATTCGACTACGAATACCGGCCATTGAATTATAAGAGAACATGAGAAAAAGCTATCAGTTTACCTGTAAATCCTGACAAGCCAATGCTCAGTGGTATAAGCCTCCTCCAGATACGTCAACTGGAAGTTCTTATTGCCTATTTCCGCGTTACGAGTGCGATCGTAACCGTAAGGCGACCGATAGTCTATTTTAACGTCCCCAAACCGGTAGTAACTCAGTTTGTACATGAGCGAGTTCAGTAAAGTGGGGGAACCTTCGGAATCGACGCGGAACTCCCCCCTCTCGGTGAAATAATCACTCTCGCGTATGTCCTGGGGATGCTCGCCCTCGGCGATACGGACCATCCATAAGAATTTGTTAATATCGTCACCGCTGTACCCGATCATCCCGCCAAAAATGATCAGCACGTAGTCCACGTCCAGGGACGTCATGATATCGTAAGCAGCGCTCTCGTTCGAGCTCATCGCTTTACCGACCAGAGCTATGTGCGAGTTATTCCACGTATTATTGTCCACGAGGGTAGTTCTACAAAATAGAAATTGAACAATGTCAAATCGCCCTCGTACACTAATTTCAATATAGAGGAAAGTCCCCTATTTCCGAGATCGGCTTCTAATATGAGACAGCAGGTCTTTAACAACCACATTCAACCAGAAATCTTTTCCCGCGACGATCACACGATCTAAAGGTCTGTGTCCACGTTGCTAGAACTTGGTCCAAGTTCTGGTTTCGAGGAATGTGTAGCCAATCAACTGACCAGCTTTTATAAAATGGCTGCAAGTTGATTGGCTACACATTTCTCGCAAGTAGAACTTGGACCAGGTACTAGCATTGTGGACAATGAATTTTCTGCTGAACAGATTTCACTCCGAGGGCAATAAATGCGCGGTGGAACCGATGACGTCTATTCAGCAGAAGCCACTGTCTCATATTAGGAGCTTGTCTCATAATATGGGAGTTTCCTCTACACGTGACGCACCTGTTAGCCATACCAGCGATCTGGTATCCGTAATCCCACCAGCTCATGACTCTCGCGTCATTGGCGGTGTTCTGAGCCAACCAGTAGTAAGCCTCTCGAAAGTCGTCCAGTATGGCCCTGCCACCGTCGTTGCTGTAAGACGCCAAGACGATAGATGGACTGGAGTAGGCGTTGCTGGTCACCCACGTGCAGTGCACGGTGAACATCATCAGCAGCATCAGCATGCCGATGACGACGACGTTACGGAGATTAGGGCCTAATCCGTCGCCGTTGCCCTTCGACCTCTCGTGCTTCATCCTACGAAGTTTACCAGCTTTGTCGTATAACGCTCTACCGGGACTTCTCTCCCTCTCCTCCTCACTCTCCTCGTTGCTCTCGCCGCCGTTGTTCCCATCCCTGTCCTCCTCCTTCAGGAACAGTTCCACAAGTCTGCTGACAGCGACACCGGCCAGCATACACACCACCGGGGTCAGAGTCAGCATCAGCCTCACCATCACACCAGCAAAATAAACGGCACTTATGGCGTACAGTACAACTGCGAGAAGATCGAATATCAGTTATCGTCGACGACACCTCGTCTCGAGGCACATCCTCATCGCGGATTCTTACCGAAGACACGTTCGTCATTGACGTGTGTGATGCAGTACCAAAGGCCAACCGGGAACAGCGCGACGAGAACATGCAGATCAAAGAAAAAACTGAACCAAGTGGTCGGTTGATGTTCCGACACAGACGCTATTATAGGGATATGTATCTTGGCGTAACCGGTATCCCAGAGTGAATAAAATCTACCGCTCCAAGGGGCGACAATGCCGGTGTACGTTAACACGATCAAAATTAACAGGAGCATAGCAGTCGTCACGGCCACCACCCCACCGAAATATTTCATCTCGGATTTGGTAAGTACAGTTCTTAAGTACCTGGAATCAGAGAAACCGCATTGAGTACGTCGCAACATACGCTAGTGCGTCGCCAAAATGTCTAGTCAAATTTTATCAATGTACTCTGATGTAAAAATGCATTATAAAAATACAGAGGCAAATTTTTCCCGCGTTACAGACAATACTTGCTGGATGGTACGAGTAAAATTTCCAAAGTTCAAATAACCATGTGCGAGCACTATTATTCGATTAATCAAAAAAGCCATCTGCGGTCGGATTGCATCTTGATAGCCTAATGATATTAGAGGAAAGTCCTCTATTATGAGATAGTAGGCTTTCAATGTCCAAATTCAATCACCAATCTTTTTTCGCAACGATTACACGATCTAACGACCAATTTTCCACTAAACAGATTTCACTCCAAGAGCAATAAATTCATAGTGGAACCAACAGATAATGTCTATTAATTTAGCAAAAACTCTGCTATCTCATATATCACACAGCACAGAAAGATTGCAGAAATGTTACATTGCAAGATCGCAATTAATATTGCAGCAACGTTGCGAAACATTGCTGCAACGTTTCTGGAGGATTGCAGCAACGTTGAAATGTCTGCCCTCAGAGAGATTGCAGTGCAATATTATAGCAATGTTGCAGTGCAATATTTTTAAAATAATTTGTTGTTGTACATAAGCAGAGAATTTACTAATTACATATGAATGCGGGCCTTTTTCAATACACAGCTATTGCGAAGCAACCTAAGGAGATTATGCCGCTTCGCAATAGATGGAGATTGCGAGCAACACCGCATTGATCAAGTACTTAATAATTCGGGCATTATTGGTATCAACGAAAATAACATTATAAAATTCTCATAATTAGAAAAATTTTTTTAATAGAAAATATAGTAGTTTTTTAAATTTTATTTAATTTATTTAATTTAAAATTAGTATTTTTATTATTTTTCAAACATTGCTGCAATATTGCTATCGAAAGTTTGCAATTTTATATCCCTGTAATGTCTCTGCAAGATTGCAACGTTTCTGCAATTAACTGCAACCATCTGTGCTGTATGGGATTAAGAATCTATCTCATAGTAGGGGACTTTCCTATATTGTTTCGCCCTGATAATAAAATGTGAGTATTCATAATCAGGCTGTAACATATAAAGGCCTGTGTCCTCGATGCTAGAATTTGGTCCAAATGTGTAGAGAAGAGAAATGTGTAGCCAATCAACTTGCAGCTATTCGACAAAAGCTGCAAGTTGATTGAATCAAGTTCTAGCATTGTGCGCTATTGGCTTTAGAAAGAGGTAATTTTCACCAGCCATCAAGTTATTCACGTACGAAAGGTTTATTGGAGTTTCGCTAAATAGCAAACCAACGGTTTCACAAACATTTCAGGGACACATGCGGTTCTATTGTTACAGACAAACAATGCAAATTAAAGCGACGCGAATAACATTTATAGAAGCGATACGTACCTAAAAGCTGCTACAAAGATTATAAGACCAAACACGCCGGTCGCCGCCATGTGCTCGGAGGTTCTAATCGGCTGGAAACCAACAAACGGTATCTGCATGCTCAGCAAGAGTCCAAGAACGTAGAACGTGGTGTAGCTGGTGAACAGCCGATTGCTGAAGCGATTCAGGACCAGTAAGGCAAACACGTGGAGTGGAATGAGATTGATAATGAACACGTATCCTCCCCACGCCGATACCATGTAGAAGTAAGACAGGGCGGTCACGCTCGCCCAGAAAATCGAGCCGGTCTTGACCGACTTGACCCACAGGTAATAGGTAATTTGCAGCGCGAAGATCGCGATTCCCTCGTTGTCATAGCTGCCGGCCACCGATCTCGAGATATAACCGGGCACAATGGCGATGAAGCAAGCGGCAAACAGGCCGGCCCCGGCGCTCCATATCTCCTTCGTTAATAAATACGTAGATATGGCAGTAAGGCCACTAAAAATTGGAGCTAGGAATACACATATGTCTCTTATATGCACTGGTATGTTCAGGGAGTGCAGTATGTAGTGTATCGATCCAGATGTGATCATCAGCCCAGGATAGACTGTACCGCCAACAATCCGGCCAAGTGGATACCAAGCCCGTTCGTCGAACCAATTTAGAAAATTGTAGAATCCATGTTGCACCATGTACGCCGTTGCTCGGTAGTTGAACCTGAATTCAAGATACGCTTGTTACATCTCTCGACCAGCTGGAAATTCTCTGTCGCCTAACGCGTCGTCTCTCAAAACGTAATATTTGTTTATATTTAATTCCTCGATACTTATGCTTCCACGTGTCTCGAGATAAGAGACGTCGTCTCCGATACTCTCGTTACGTAACGAGAAAATAATATAAATAAGAAGAATCGATCGTTCTCTGGCGATAACACTCAGGCAAGGTCGAACAACCGCGCGCAGAGGATACGTACCAGGGATCGAACTCGTGTATGATGCTCTCGAAGCGTATGACCGCAAAGAGCCTCGAGGCAAAGCCCGAAATCCAGGCGAGCAGGAGAACGGTGAAGGTGATGAGGGAGCTGAGGCCGACGGCGTTGGTCAGTGTGGAGGATTTCATCTGCTTGGTTGTCGACCTTTTGTCAGGGAACATGACCTTCGCGTTGGACGACGACATGGAGGAGGACGAGGACGAAGAAGACGACGGGGGCTGCTGCTGCTGTTGCGTTGACGACGACGACGACGACGATTTGTTCGGCAACATGTTTTTCCCGTAGCCTCGCGTTCGCCACGAGCGCGTTAAACGTGCGACACCGTATGTATCCGTGTTATCGATACTCACAATGTGGCGTTCGCCATATGTGCACGAGAACACCCGCGTGGCCGCGCACGACACGTTGCGCGAATCGAGAGCGGCGCGCGTGGGAAGAATTATCGAATGGTCTCTCGCTGCACACCTAAACCCTGGGAGGCTAGGACACGTCAAACGCCGGCTACGTGTTAACCATGACTTCCACCGCGGCAGTCGCGGAACCCGCACCGAGGGCGCAGCAGTAGACAGGAAGTCGGTGTGTTCGAACATGCGTTATCGCGGTGGATCGAGTTTTCGAGCCGAGCCGCTTATTGATCTGACTTCGTTTAAGGCTGGATTCACATGGAGCGTAACTTGCGTAGCGTAAAGCTGCCTTTTCACCTTGCGTCTGGAACCAGGGGAGCGATCGCGTGCACCGATCGAATTCGAATTCGAGAAGGAATATGCCATCCGATATCACTCTTCGTACATGATCAATCTATGGTCTGAGGGAAACTATCCTATAATAAATAAGCATGAACCATGAAACCTGTAGAGTAGAGACGTATGAGAAGTCGACCGATCGAATTCGATCGTGCACGCGATCGCTCCCCAGATCCGTTTGGCCGGTTACCCCCACTCCGAGCGCAGATTCTCCGCCTGGCTTGCTCCTGGCGTTTGGACGCCAGAAGTTCGGAATGGTCGAACTCTAGCTGAAATTCGCTACGTGACAAAGTGACAACACGAAAATAAAAATGAGTTCATTTGGCAACGGCAATGAGGGAAGTTTATATCTTTATTATTAATATCAATTCATTAATTATTTACTGATTGCCGAATTGCTGAAAAAGTATGCGTGTATGGCACATTTGCGTACATAACCTATTGCAATGCTGTACGAAAAAAAAGAAGTATGTCCCCAATAGTATTTTTTCTTGATCGAGCGCAGTACACAATTATTTATGCAAGCACTAATAATAAGTCACAACTATATGCAGTTGTGATCAAAACGAAAACGTGTCACGGAGTGGGGGTAACCGGCCAAACGGATCTGGCTTCCAGACGCAAGGTGAAAAGGGAGCGGTGGTTTTAGCGTTGGTTTTTCGAAGTCAGCTTCCATTCCCCTCAAACAAAAAAGAAATATACAACGAAGTGGGGGTAACCAGCCAAACGGATCTGGCTTCCAGACCTTAGAACATACAGGGTGTCCTGAAATTCGCGAATCAAAATACCATAGCAAGAAAGTCGTCGAAAAAATAAATGAAAAAGTTATTTGCCATTTTTCGTTCCGAGCAGTAGT